GCTCCTTTAGCCAATTATAAAGCCATTGGATGAGGAGGACTAGACCTTACCAAGGCAACAACTCAGACAACACAAACCTGTATTTTGGCTGACTCTCCTTTTCAAAACTAGGAGGTTGCTTTTGTTTTGAAGTTACCCCTGTAATTCAGCTTGATGCTTGTCAAACATAATAAATACCAGAGCAAGAAATTAATTATCAGAAGTTATAAAAATAATAAATGCTGAAATTTAGTAGCCAAAAGTGCTGCCTGATCTGTGAGTCTATAACTGTCTAGTAGTGTCATAAATGGAAGTTTCTAAATGCCTGGTGGACACTCATATCAATAATTTAATTTTAGCAAGATCTGAACGTAAATAAAGAACTGATAAAATACAGTTCCTCTAAGAGAAAATGTGTTCCCTTTAAAATGCCTCTTTCTCATTTGCATGAAATCACTTGGAAATGCTTGGATGGACTCATTCTTGTATACCAAGTTTTGTAATTATTTAATTTTAGAAACTCCAATAGTAATCTCTTAAGCTTAGAGGAAATGCAATTTCAAAGTAGAAATTATTGCTAAATGTTTTTAAAAGTATCTTTAAAGTAAGTATTGTTGCTACTTTTGCAAAAAGTGAAGTTTTTATTTGTATAACAAATCAGCATAGTTTTAGAAGGTGATTCTGGATTTACAGGATTTAAAGCTATATACTAGAAGCTGGTTATTTGTAAGTGCACTCTATTTATATAAAGCTACTCCTGAGTATTTGCACTATTGATTAGTATAAACCATAAAATGTTTTTTCTTTAGCTAAGGGGGGGAACACCATCTGGATTTTACATATATAATTAATGCATAATTTGTTTTCTTTGCATGCTTTCTGAAAATTCAAAGAGGAAACAAAAGAGGTATTTAATTCCATTATTTCTTTATGTTTTCTTCTTGCTTGCTTAAAATGTATTCTGAAAAACTTCAAACTTACCATGTTTTCTGTTTTATAGCAAGAAGGAGAGACTGAATACAAATTTGAATGGCAAAAAGTTGCTCCTCGAGAAAAGTAAGATATCTGGATTTTTTTCTTATACTTCTCTTTTTGTCCCTTTTTTCCCCTGTTTTATTTTTGAGCAGGTCACTTGTGTGATCTTATCACGTCCTGACACTTAATTAGCAAACCTTGTTAACCTGAAACTATTTCCTTGCTCAGCTTTATTTTCATTTGATTTTTGCATCCATATTTGAAAATGCAGTAAAACAACACTTACAGAAATTATACCTCTGAAATGGGTAAAAGTTTTGTATATGTAAAAGGTTTTGTATATGATGTCTTTTAGAAAATAGTAGTGAATGGAGGATTTGTTTTCTCTTGTGTTTGTGTACAGATATGCTAAGGATGATATGAATATCAGAGATCAGCCCTTTGGTATCCAGGCAAGTTACTGAATTTCACTCTGTGATGTATGGGGTGCATTTCAAATGTTGTCTGACTGCAGAACTTTCACATGGACTCTCTGAATTTTATCATCTCTTTTTCAGTGGGTTTAAAGGCTTCTCTTATGCCTAATAACACAGACATTCCTGTAAACACTCAGCTGTATTTGTGACTAAATTGTATCAATTGGCTTTGTTGCCTTTAGGTGCGCAACGTGAGATGCATTAAATGCCACAAGTGGGGTCACATAAACACTGATCGAGAGTGCCCCTTATTTGGTCTTTCTGGAATCAATGCAAGTTCAGTCTCCAGTGATGGTTCAGGTAGGCAGTGAATGGTTTTTAAAGTTCTGGTTAGACATGTGGGGGGAGCTTATCATGTTTCATTTTAGAAGGTTTAAGTTTATCATATTTCAGAGAGTTGATGAAATCTGGAAAACAGTGAATTCCAGATGTAGGATCCACAAGTTTTAATTAATTATTTCATATTGCAGGGACCTAATTTTCTAATTATTAACTCATTTTAAAAAGAGTCTGTATTGCTTTGATCCTATCTGTACCTAAAACTGAGAAGCTGCAATGAGACTTTAGATCAGAATGACAAAATTTGTGTCACCAAAAAGTGAATGGATTGTCAAAGACTGTCACAGTTCAGATTTAAGCAAATTGCTTGGCTAAGATGGAATATATCATTGTATCTTTGTTAAGCACTTGGTAAAAAGGAGAGGTTTGTGGGCTTTTTTAAAATATGTATTTATGTAACTGGACAAGCAATTGAAACCTAGGTTTCCAAATTTCTGGTTTCCCTTCATTTGACTTCTTTTGGCTTCTCGAGCTACAATTTTTTTTTCTTCTATTAACTCTCCTGTTACACAGCACAGTTAGTGCTAGATTATGTTTGAAGAAGTAGATATGAACATTCAAATTGAATAAATTTTTGTCTACAGTACTTTTTTTTCTGTAAGTTTACCCAAGTTGCTTTTAAGTTTCTTAAAATTGGGGCATGTTAAAGAAACATCAGGTAGTGTGGATGAGTCTTCAGCCTTGCTGTACTGTGCTTTAAAGTCACGTGTTGTGTCTTGGGTTTTGCAGGGATATCATTACATCGAGTTGCACACACTCCGTGGTTTCTGCTTTTCTTCTGTCTTCATTCCAGATTATCAATTTTATGTAGCAGCTCCTAGTTTTGTTACATATATAGGCTACTAATAAGCTTGTTTTTCAGATTTAGGTCACAAAGATACTTAGTTTCTTTGGAATTAGGCCTGGAAGATTTGAGTTGAAGGAAGTGGTGCCTCCTTACTCTCCTGTCTTTTTAGGCATTGTCTGATGATTATGCCATTGTATTACTCATCCTGTAGTTGACTTGCTCAGCCTTTCTGTCCAGTTGGTTATAAGGTTAAATCACTTTCTTGCATGAGTCTTACAGTAGAAAAAAATTGTGCTTAGAATATGGTGCAGCTCTTGCAGGTCAGAGATGCTTTTGTGCTACAGAACTCACTGTCCACACCTCAGTTCAAATGATGTGGGTCAATTTTAGGGGTGTTTAGTTGAGAGAGCAGAGTGTTTTTATGTGCTTGCACAAACCTGAATGTGCATTCCTTATTATTTGTTACAGTGTAATACAGACACTCTGCAGTGTCAGTAGAAGAATAACTGCTTGTTTCAAACCTTACTGAACTCTCTA